CGGAACGACACGCCCAGCAAGAACTGCGACACGATACCTGGGACCTTCGTGGTCCTGTCCCAAGACAGGCCGGATTCCTTCCGGCTTGGGCTACCGTCAAGATACCGTGTCACCCGGTATTCCACTGCAGCAAGCTCAAGAAGTTCGTCCCCAACCCACGCAAGTTCGCCAGCAGGCGCCAACACCGACCGCGGCCCATCGTGCACGACGGCCACGTCAAGTTCATCGTCAACAAGATCCTCGATCATCGCTTCAAGCACCGCACTCTCCAGTTCCTAGTGGATTGGGAGGGGTACGGACCCGATGCAAGGACCTGGGAGCCCACCAAGCACGTCGCAGGCTGCGACCAGCTCCAGGACTACCTCAACGACCACCCGGAGCTCCTCACGGCCGTTGGACCAGTCCAGCCCAGCTAGCTGGTTGTTTGTAATGTTGACTGTTTTGTCTGAAAGGAAGAGAGGGTGGTTAGTTGAAGGGGGAGGGTGAGTGTAAGCACTTGTCGACTCTGTCGACAGTGCTTTTCTGTCCCACTTCTTTACTACTCTTTTCACACGTCTTTCGTGACCGAGCCTTGTCGCATGTCTTTCACCACTTCTCCCACCTCATCCCAAATTACATTGCTCCGCAGTGTTGCATTGCTCTTAGCAGTATCCTTTGCTCTTGGCTTGTTTGTTGTCACGCTACGTGGCAACCCTCCTTTGTTTTGTTTTCGTTTTCCTTTGTCTAAAGCCCCTACGGCTTTTGCTCTCGTACTCGTGTTTCTCCCTGCTTGTTCTTTCTGTGCACCCGCTCATGCCCTTTTGTGCGAGTGTCACGTTCGTCTTGTTCATTCTTTTGTTTTACTGTTTGACCACGACATCGACCACAGTACACTGACACAACCAAAGAGCTTACAAGAACCTTCTGGAAAGATGTGGCGAAAAAAAATTATTCGAGGGTTTGTAATCCCAGCTGCCACAATCACACTGGAAATCATCTGCCTGAATCGCCTTCAACCACCACCACCAACTGCAGCAGCGCACCCTAGCACCCAAGCGCACCGTACTCTCGCCCAACGACACTCAACACAGACTGCGACCATGGCCGATGACGACAACGACGAGCACCGCCTGACGGACGGCGTGTCTGTGGACGCGGTCAAGACCTTCCTCGCAGACCTGAAGAAGGAGTTCCCCGACACGTACACCGAGATGACAACGGAGGATGCCTGCAAGCAGCTCGTGGTGCCACGCACACAACAAGACAACTGCGCGTACGTCGACCTCTTGCGCAAGCAGTCATCACATGAACATGTAGGCAAGGCCACCGTGTTTGTGTCGCACGCGTGGCGATACAAGATCGCAGACGTGCTCAACGTGCTGCTGGAGTTTGCTGAGGAACAAAGAGCAAGCAAGGAAGACAGCCAGCCCGTGTTCTTCTGGTTTGACCTCTTCATGAACAACCAAAACGCCAACGTCACCGCCAACCTCCCACAAGAGTGGTGCGTTGTTTGTGTGCGTGCGTGCGTGTGTGTGTGTGTGTGTGCGTGCGTGCGTGTGTGTGTGTGTGTGTGTGTGTGTGTGTGTGTGTGTGTGTGTGTGTGTGTGTGGAGCTGTGTGTGCGCCTGCGTGCTATACCTCCCCGTTTCTTGCACACTCCCACGCCCTCTCCTCTCCCACCTCCCTCCACACCACAACACCCTCCCCCCCCCACCCCACCCGCAGGTGGAGCACGACATTCAAGGAGTCGATTGCCAACATTGGGCGCGTGCTGCTGGTGTTGATGCCGTGGCGTGACCCCGTGCCACTGACCCGTGCGTGGTGCCTGTGGGAAATCTTCTGCGGCATCAGCAACGAGGGCACAGAGGTCAACATCCGCCTGCCCAACAGCGAGGAGAAGGCGCTGGAAGATGCCATCTCTGACAACTACGAGGCAGTGACCGATACTTTGGTGCGCGTGCAGGCAGAGCGGGCAGAGGCCTTCAACCCGCGCGACAAGGACATGATCTTCGAGGCCATCCAGAACGGCGTGGGCTTTGGTGCTCTCAACCAGGCCGTCAAGGACCAGCTGCGCGCGTGGTGCCTGGAGAAGGCGGTGGCGGCGGTGACGGGCATGCACGCACGAGGCGAGGACAAGACCGAGGCATTCGCACGGTTGTGCCACCAAGTGGGGCTTGTCCTTCGTGAGTTTGGCGAGCACGATCAGGCCATTGCATACTATGAGGCGGCGCTGGCGCTCCACGCTGAGGCGGGAAACGAGGGCGACGTGGCTGCGTTGAAGGCCAGCATTGGCATCGCATACACCAAGAAGGGCGAGTACGACAAGGCGCTCGGCTTCTTGGAAGCAGCACTGGCAATCCTGCTGCGCACCGAAGGGGAGAACGGAGACAGCGTGGCTACGGTGTACACGAACCTTGGTGAGGCGTACGATGACAAGGGCGAGTACGACAAAGCGATTGAGCACCACAAGAAGGGCCTCGCCATCACAGCGAAGAAGCTGGGGGAGCAGCACGTGAGGACAGCCGTGGCATACAACAACCTTGGCGCTGCATATCACGGCAAGGGCGAGTTTGACAAGGCTGCTGAGTGTTACCAGAAGGCACTCGCCATCAGGGTGGAAGCGCTGGGGGAGAAGCACCCGAACACGGCCGCATCCTACAACAACCTCGGCATCGCCTGCAGCAACGACGGCCAGTACGACAGGGCCATTGAGAATTACGAGAAGGCGAAGGAGGTGTTTGTGGAGACGTTGGGGGAGACGCACCCGAGCACAGCATCAATCTACGACAACTTGGGCCTCGCCTACGCCAGCAACGGTGACCATGACAAGGCGATTGAGCACTATGAGAAGGCCCTCGCCATCGCGCTGGAGAGGCTGGGCGAGAAGCATCCGACCACAGCGCAGTCCTACGGCAACTTGGGCAACGCCTTTGACAGCAAGGGCGACCACGACAAGGCGATTGAGTACCTGGAGAAGGCTCTCGCCATCAGGGTGGAGACGCTTGGAGATAAGCACCCAAGCACAGCCAGTACATACAACAACTTGGGCAACGTCTACAAGAGCAACGGCGAGTACGACAAGGCCAATGCGTTTTATGAAAAGGACCTCTCCATCACCGTGGAGGCGTTCGGAGAGAAGCACCCTAGCACGGCCATGACGCTTGCCAACATCGCCCTCGTGCATGATGAACGTGGCAACAAGGAGCAGGCGTGCGACTACATGCAACGCGTGGTTGACATTTTCACAGAGACGCTTGGACCAGACCACCCGAACACACACCGAGCTGAAGCCGACCTGCGGCGCATTCGCGGAGACCGTGCTGATGACACCAGCCAGCCCAAACAAGCACATCAACAGCAACAGCAGCCCATTTCCGGGCACCCCACCAAGCCGCTTGCGGGGTGGCTGCAGAAGCGGGGCCGTTGGCGGAGGGCTGCGTATCGCCCGTTCTGGTGCAAGGCTGAGGATGGCCACCTGGAATATGGCGAGTCGGCAGACCGAGCAGCAAAGCGGCGCATCCCGCTTTCAACCGTGCAGTCAGCTGAGCTTACTCAGGGTGGTGAGGAGCTGCACGTAACCGTGCCTGGGCGAACCTTTGTCTTCCGCCTGGACGACCGTTCGGAGCTGACGCTTGCCGACTGGCGCAACGCCATCAAGATGGGAGCGAGTGGAGAGAAGTGAAAAGAGAGGTGTGTGTGTGTGTGTGTGTGTGTGTGTGTGTGAGTGTGTGTGTGTGTGTGTGTGTGCGTGCACATGCACACTGGGTGTGTGTTTATGCGCTTGCCTTGTATGCACGTTGCCAGGTGTGTTGCTTTGCTTTCTCTTTTCAAGTTGCCTGCATGCATCGTTCTCCACCATGCCTTACGCCTTGTTTCCTGTGTGTTCCTTTTTTGGCTGCGTGTGTCAGTCCACCGTTCGATATCCATTTTGCCAACCCGTTTGCTCGCTTTCAAGTGCTGGTTGTGTTAGGTGTGTTTGTCGACATCAAACCGTCGTGTAAAGGTGTAAGCGTGTGCGCTGTAATCTCTCACTCACGCACACACCAAACACACGCACTCTCTCACAGCACATTGGTGTCTTCTGTTTTGATTCCTTGGCCCTCGATTATCTACATTCCAAGATGGGCGGCACCGCCAATCATGTGGTGCAGCAGAGCACCTTGCGCGTCAAAGCGACACTGCCAGCTAGGATGTCAAAAAAGTCCACCGCATGTACGTGTGTGCGTGTGTGTGAACGTTGTGTGTCCCTTGAGTCAGCAAGTCGCAAAACGTGTGGCGACTGATTTCAGTCGCATGACGTGATCCTGCCCAAACGCAAGCAAAACGTTTCCTTGCGTCCACCACTGAACCAACCAACCATGGAGATGCGCTGACCTGACTTTGGCGGCTGCTGCGACGCTGTCGCTGACTTGCTCCGTCTGCCTGCCGAATGACATTTCCATCTTCGTCCACCAACAACCTCGACCTGCACAAGTACACACTTGCACGCAGCCGTCTCCGTACACCTCCAAGAGCTCCAGTTCCACCACGTCACTACGTCAAGCATCACTCAAGTCAGAAGTACTCACGAGAACGAGACGCTGAGACGACTGTAGCCATGGCTCCAACGAACACTGCTGCCGTCGCTGCCGTCGCTGGCAATGGTGCTTCGAATGATCTCTTGGATCGCATCAACAGCAGCACGGACTTGGATGCTGCGGCAATCGCAGCCCACCTTGACGACTACACGCAGCAGCGCATCCACGATATGGCCAACAGCACCTGCGGCGAAGAATGCATGTCAGTCTGCACACTTCTATGTGATGCTGCGTCTTGGTCTCTTGGTCTTACACAACAGCAGCCACTTGCTTCCTTTTGCAGCCTTTGCATCTCTTAATCCGAGTGGCACGCACGCACACACACACACACACACACACACACACGCACACACACACACACACACACACACACACACACTACCTCTCTCTCTCTCT